GCCATGCCTGCAGACGAGTTCGTCGCCATGGCCTCGGACCCCAACGTACTAGGCAACCCTCTCCTCAAGACACAGCACTTCATCGGCGGCACGCGGTGGGAGAAGACTGCAGAGGACGAGATTACCGGGTACCACCAGCTCCGTGTGCCCCATCAGAGGTACACCGATGAGTCCCGCACCAAGGTTGCCGTCAAGGGCCATGCCCACAGCTTCAACACGCACTGGTACAAGAAGATCGACGGCGAGTGGAAGTTTGCTGGACTGAACCCGGATATCAGATGGTTCGAGTACGACTTCGACAAGGTGTTCGCCGAGGGCCGTGAACAGCTGGGCGAGGCCAAGGCTGCTGCTGGCATCCCAGAGAAGGTCCCTGGCCAGGCGATGTAGGATAGGATGGGAATCTGCTTACTAAGATACCACTACGAATGATAGAAGACATTATTTGATATTGCTCAGTCTGGTGTACGTGTCCACGGCGATGTTTAATGGAGGCCTTCACAGCTCCACAAGCGCAACGGTCGTGATATGTGTCTGTCGAGCTGGTTGGATGCAGGCCTCAGCGGCCGGCCGTCTAGCTGCAGACGGTGGGACCACTGAGAGAGGATGGAGGGGCCCATGGCGGTACAGGTGTGTGATTCGACCGGCGCAAAACTGCGCGGCTTGAGTACAGAGTCCAGCGATGCGGCGCGAGCATGGGTGAGATATGGATTGGAAAGGCTGCAGACTGCAGAGGCTCTCGGTGAGGCACCGCCCCGCACATTGCGAAAGCCCGGTGACGACTTCTGGCTGCAAGTCATCTACGCGGCCAGGGGTGGGTCGCCTATTAATAACGCAGAGCAGATCGCACGCAGCCGGCACCGTTCTTCATCTGGTCGATGCCAGCGTGGCAGCCGTGTTGAGCCTCTGTAGCGAGATGCGATGGGCCACTCGCAATGGAGCCGCTTCATCCTTGGGTCGCGCAATCCTTGTATCGATCGAAAGCTTAAACCTGCACTGGTCTACGCCATCCGCGTCCCCAGGTTCGCGCAGTCATCGCTACCAAAACCAAGCGAAGTAAATCCTAGCGGATTCTCGGCGCCGTACATCATCTGCAGTTCTTCGCTCTTCTACCGACCCCGCCCACCGACCGACCTTCCTCCCACACTGCCCAACACCTGCTGTCGTCGATCGTCTTTCCTCTCCGATTTCTCGCGTTTGTGGTGTTTGGATCTCATCTGCTTCTCCAGTTCGCCGGTGTCCTTGAGATTTTTCGGTATGTATATCTCATGAGCAATTTTCATCTCGTCTTGGCGGGCCGCCCACTGCACAATTTCGTGCACCGGGGCATGGGAGCTGCGGACTGCACAATCAATTCGGCCACCGCCCGTCTGCTACGCCATGTGCGTCCATCGCCTACTGACGTCGTCGCCTGCACGGACTTGGTCGCGCGGCCTGCAGCAGCGCTGCCTCCAGCCCGAGCCAGCGTCGCGCATCCCGACGCGCTCTCACTGCCGTGGGTGTTGCGAGCACCTGTCGTGACATGGGCCTCGTGCGCCCGCCGCATGTGATGCCTGACATGAAAACTACGGTACTGACCCGCCCACTCAGATTTCGTTCGAGCTTCCTCACGGTCACTCCTTCGCTCTCCCTCACCCACACCCACTCCTTCGTGCGCGACCTGGAGTTACTGTCGCCGCTTTTCCCGACTATCTCCTAGGCGTGTTCCTTGGCCTGTACGCTCTACTGCCTCCGCGACTGCAGTGATAGAAGGAGCCGGATCTAATCGGTAAGTGCAGCCTGCCACCCTTCCAGCTCCTTCACCCTGCTCCCGCTGCCTGACCTCCTGCGCGCACACTCACCGGAACTAACAATTGCTTTTTCTGCGCAGACTATATAAACGACGCTACGGTTCTCTATCATAATTAGAGCTCATACCCTTACTCCCCACCTCCGCTAGCTCAATCGACTACCCCGCTTGATCTATCAGTCATGTCTTTCAACAACAGCTACGGCGACCAATTCCAAGGCCAGCCCCAGGGCGACATGAACAACCAGACCCCGCAGCCCGGCGACATGGGTCAGCCCATGGACGCTTCCGGCAACGGCTTCCCGCCCCAGGGCAACATGGGCCCGCCAGGCAGCGCTGGTGGTGACGGCCAAGGCCAGGGTGCGGGCAAGACGACTCTCTGGTGAGTCTGCGGACGCACCCGAGTTGCGAATTGCGCATCTCAGATGGCGATGTGCGCGCTCGGGTGGCCTTTTACTAGGTGGGGCACATCGATGCTAACACAACGCAGGATGGGTGAACTCGAGCCCTGGATCGACGAGAACTTCGTGCGCAGCATCTGGTACAACATGGGCGAGACTGTCAACGTCAAGATGATCCGCGACAAGTTCTCCGGGTAAGCACGGAATCCACACAGGAAAAAGTCTCCAGGCTAACTACCGCATAGCAGCAATGCTGGATATTGCTTCGTCGACTTCGCGAGCCCTGATGCTGCGTCCAAGGCCCTTAGCCTCAACGGCCAACTGATCCCCAACTCCAACCGCCCGTTCAAGCTGAACTGGGCCTCTGGCGGTGGTCTTGCTGACAGGAGGCAAGTCTCACCCGGCTATCCACATACGACAGTGATCACTAACGACTCGAACAGCCGCGATGAGCGTGGTCCCGAATTCAGCATCTTCGTCGGAGACTTGGGCCCCGAGGTCACCGAGTTCGTCCTCGTACAACTCTTCCAGAACAAGTACCAGTCCACCAAGTCCGCCAAGATCATGTCCGACCCCATTAGTGGTATGTCGCGCGGCTACGGTTTTGTCCGGTTCGCTAGCGAGGAGGACCAGCAAAAGGCCCTCACTGAGATGCAAGGCGTCTACTGCGGCAACCGCCCCATGCGTATCTCCACTGCCACACCCAAGAACAAGAGCGGTGGTCCCGGAGGTCCCGGCGGAATGGGCGGCATGCCTCAAGGCGGCGGCGGCCCCGGTATGGGCATGTACTCCATGGGCGCTCCTCCCATGGGTGGCTACTACGGTGCACCCCAGCCGATGAACCAGTTTACTGACCCGAACAACACCACCGTCTTCGTCGGCGGTCTGTCCGGCTACGTCACCGAGGACGAGCTCCGCTCTTTCTTCCAGGGCTTTGGCGAGATCACATACGTTAAGATTCCCCCAGGCAAGGGTTGCGGCTTCGTCCAGTTCGTTCAGCGCCACGCTGCCGAGATGGCCATCAACCAGATGCAAGGCTACCCCATCGGTAACTCTCGCGTCCGTCTTAGCTGGGGTAGGTCCCAGAACAACTCCGGTCCAGCCGGCACCCCGTACCGCCCTGCACCACCTCCACCAGTTCCCTTCGGCCCAGGCATGGGTATGCCCCCGCAACACCCCTACGGCGGTGGCGGTGGCTACGGCCCGATGATGAAGGTAAGTCAACAAGACATGCTGCAGTTCTGTGTCTGATGCTAACTCGACTGTAGTAAGCGCATTCTTTCCCTCTGTATTGCTTGCACGGCGCTTCTGTCATGGTTCATCCCGTTGGCTTACTGCAACGATCCCTTTCATGACTCGGCATGACGAATTTCGAGCGATTTGGTCTTTAGTTCTATAACGGGCGGTTCTCCAAAAGTTCTCGACTTCTTCTCACGACACTCATCTTGCTGGAGGGCCATAGAAGGGAGTCTTTGTATAACAGGCCATCTATTCTCCCATTCGGGCTTTCTTTCTAAGCGTGCCACTCATCTTTCTGGGAGCATAGGGATGTAGCTAGTCATGCATGGGCCGGATGCTGCTTTCTCTCGACTTGCCTTTTCTTCACGATTGTGCGCTGCTCCTTGCAGGATTGGCCATCATTTCCAATCACACGATTCTTCTATTTCTGCGTGTTTGGTTGCGTGCTTGCTTGCTGGCTTGGTTGATTCGTCTAACGTTCTGTTCCAAGTGCCTTGTAGTATTTCCTTTGTTAGTTTGTTGTTGGTTCTATTAGCACGCGCAGAGTCTACCACCTCGTTGCCCTCCTTGGACATCTTGCTAACGTCATTGTGTAGCAACTTTCCCGTCCAGGCTGGCCAGCCTTCCCCTTACCCGCCGTCGATGAACGCAAGCCTCGGTGGCCAGCGACCCGGCAGCCAGAACGCCCCTTCGGCCAATCCTGCCGGCCAGAACGGCACTCCCACGTTCAACAACTACCGCTTCACCCCCACCCAGCCCAACGGCCCCAACAGCCCCGGCTTCGGCTCGCCCGACTTTGGCGGTGCCTTCTCGCAGCAATTCCCTCCACCGCAGTAACTGCGCATCGTACGCTCTCGCATTGGTTATACGCATATCAGATACTGTTTTGCCGCTTTAGCAAGGAGTTCTTGGGGCATGAAACTTCATTATCACGACGTGGCTATATTCTTTAACTGGGGAATGAAGGCATAATGCTTTAGCGAGGCGTCTGGCGAACAAGAATTATATGGTATACCCATGCAGCAAGAGAAGGCGTCAAGAGTCTGTTTCATTTCTATCGTGGCGGGAGGTTCGCGTCTTTGCTAGAAGATTGCACTTCTTTTGAGGTTTTGCGTTGGGTTGCTGCGTGCGCTGTGGGTATTTCGGGAGATGTCTATCGAAAGAAACGTCGCAGACTGATGGTTAGTGGGTTCTAGTACAAGGTCGCTGCAAAGGTCCATGGAGGGTACATCACAGACTGACGGACAGTGGGTTTTTAGTAGAAGGGCTTTCTGAGAGATGCTACATGAGCATGCTGCAATATGCGTTTTGATCTAGTCATGCCCATTTTATACAATTTACACTTCATCGCATTTGCACGAACCTTTGACGGTGTGAGTTGCCTCGCGCCATGACGTTGCGCCGTGACAATCGTGCCTTCCTCATCACTGGACCTCGGGCGTACCCGCCGTCGCTCAGCCATCAACCCTCATAAACAATGGGCTTCTTCCTCCTCTCCACAAACACACATCCGGCACAACTGCCAATTGCTTGTTGCTCTTTTGGACACCAACAGCAGCAATCGCACGCCTGCCATGCGCTACGACGATTGGGACGTGATCCTCTTCCCTAAGGACTCTCATGTACCCATACAGGAGTTCAAGACCGCCTGCTATGTCTCACCTGAGGAGTGTGAGTACCCTGCTCTACCCCACCTACATGCAGACGTCTTATACCTGGGCGTCAATACTGATAGCATGTAGATGGCCGCCAGTTGCCCACTTTGACCTCTTATATCAGCACTCTCCCGCCGTCCACACCGTTCCGTATCTCCGTACACTCGTGGGCCACCGCATCGAAAGCCTCGGCACTGATCGAGTCTCGACGAAAGGCGAACCAGAAGGTTGTGTACACAGTTCAGGTGGTCGTTGATGGGGCTAGAGTCTTGTGAGCTTCACACCATGGGCTGTGGACATGGGACAACGATGCTGATTAGCATAGTCGTGGCTTCTTCGACATAACGTCGAAATGGCCCCAAGAAATTGGTATGTCACACCCAAGTGAATGCTGCATCACCGTGGGACTGACGGTGTGTAGCGCAAGAGAAGAGATCACTCAGCATCAACGAGTATCCTTCAAGTCAACGGAAACAATGCCTCGAGTTCCCGCCCTTTCACCAACGAACCCTCATGCAGAACTCATGGAATGCTCACGACCCACAAGGACGAATAAAGATAATGTTGTCGGAACAGTTGATCATGAAGACGGCAAGTCCTGGAGAGGTAGATCTTGGCACGACCAACGACATTGTTTGCTTCTCATTCCAGCATGCTCCAAAAGGTACGTCGAAGGAACTTATACCCCTCATATATGGATCCCTAATGAGGAACAGATGTCCTAGAACAGGCGGGCATCTCGTGGCCCATCCGAAACCCTCTATACCTTCCCAATGCGCTCGAGCGAGCCACGCATCTGTCACACATATCCCCGACAAACTCTCGGACACCCAAGGCCCGGCCCTTCCCAGGCGACATCAACATGCAGTCGCCAATCTCGCAACCATCGGCATCCGCCTTTGCCAGATCGCAGATTCCCTTACCCAATCGACGCTCTAATGCGCATCTGCCCCCTATCTCACAATTCGCAAAGCCGCTTCCGGGTTTTAGAAACAACGGTCGCCCGGGCATATGGGATGATAATCTCAACTCGCTTGTAGATTCTGCCGATGACATTAGCATGGATACATGGTCAACAAGAAGGACGTCGGGCTCGACCAGCGACATGGCCATGCCTGACTACATGTATGCTTCTTCACATCTGTCACGGAAAAGTCAACCATGGATGCCTGACAGGTCCCAATACGATCAAGGCATGAGTACAGAGTGGGAAGACCACCCGCCGAGGAAGGACAAAGAGAAACAGCTCGTTGTCACCCTTCGAGATGACCAGCTAGGGCAGATCATCCAAGCCATGAGTCCACCAAAGCAGAATCGTGAGCTACCGCACGGATCGGGCAATCAACGCCATGAGAATACTGGTCGCCTACCGACTGCCTACAACTACTGTCCCCCAAAGTCAGACATCAATCCACCTATCAACCGCCCGTCGTCGGCGGCCATGGCGCGCAAGCCATCATACTCGGGCTTCAACAATGCCCTACGGAACGCATCGAATAAGCAGTCACCAAGTAATCAGCGGTTCCACGATGCGATTAATGACAAACAGCCTACGATGAATCACCCTTCCTTCTCAAGCAACAAAGAGAATCGCCCGCCTTCGCAATCGCGATTGCCTACTGCGTTTCCGAACGCGAACCGTGTTCCGACGCCGAACCCCTTCGCGCAAAGGCTTCCAACCCATACCTCAGATATCTCCATGAGAGACCCATCTCCGGCACGTTCAAGTATGTATAGGTTCAGTCGGAGCGAAGCGCCACCTCCGACCATTGAGCCTGCTAAGTTTGGGTCAGCTCACGGCCCTTCAGCTGTGAATATCAGAAGCCGGAAGGAAGGCCTGGCATCTGACTCACCGAGGCTGTCTGACCAAGCAATGCGCCATGATCAGAGCCTGCTACCATCGTTAAACTCAGGTCCTCGGACTACACATATATCAATCTTTGAGGATAAAGACGAATCCTCACACAACACCCAGAAGAACATCCCTGATGTAGTCGAGATCATCGACGTGGATGCCATCGACCCCCACCTAAACACCAATGCATCCTTCGAGAGCAATAAGCTCTCCCCGTTCAAGCCCTGCCACAAGACTGGAGTGTCGCTTTCAAGCATCGACAGTACTGGTCGTTTAGAGAGACAGCTCTACAGTGCCCTTGGCGAAGAACTAGGCAGCTTTGAACATCATATCGACACCACAGGCATGGGACCTGAGCTTGCACAAGCACTCGGTGGCGACGCAGCACACTCCGATCTCAGCGGCTCCGGCATGCTAAACCCAAACGCTCACGAATTTGAGCCAACAATCAAGCGGAAGAGACAGAGTACTTTGGGTGGCAGTCGGGAGAGAAGTCCGATGACTAAGAAAGAGAAGGCTGACTTGCGAGCTGGCGACGATCGGGAAGAGGTGGTGGTGTGTATGAGGGGGGATTGAGCGTATTGTTAGTTTGGAGATGCTGTCTGGGGGACTACGGGTTAGTCTTGTAGGCTTTGTTTTCTGAGCGTTCTAAGCGTATTGTTGTACTTGTTAGTCTTTTGGGGTAGGAGCAGATCTTACCTATTGTCAAACAAGCCAGTAGCTTATAGCAAGTTTGAAGCAAAGGCAGTTAGTTCTAACTACAAAACAACACCATATTCACAACCAGGAACCACACGCGTAGCAAAGCTTCTCTGCAAAATGACAGATCTAACTCGTCAATTTGTTTCCCTAATAAACAAAATACCCCTGCGTCAACGGCAGCGTCTCCGCCGGCTCAGCCTCGCATACCATACCATCCGCCTCGACCGTATACCTCTCAGGATCGACCTTCATCTTGGGCTTCGTATCATTGAACTTCATATCCCTCTTACCGATATTCCTACAATTCTTGACGGCCTCAACGCGCTTGCGCAAGCCATAAGACTGAACGACGCCAGAAGCGATGGAAGCTTGCGAGACGAACGTGATGCTAGATGAAGGCACCATAGGCGCGAACATGGGGCGCATGATGATGGGTTCGACGGTGGGGATCGAGGCGTTGGGATCGCCCTGGGAGGTGTTAGATCTCTGCTTGATAACAGAGGAGAGGATATTGGGGGGAGGCGGAAGGAGAAAACATACCATCTGAGCATACGAGCAAAACCCACTCTTAACCACCAAACTCGGCTTAACCCCAAAGTTCCTCGGTGTCCAAAGCACAAGATCCGCCACCTTACCCACCTCTACACTTCCCACAAGATGGCCCATACCCTGCGCTATCGCGGGGTTAACAGTATACTTGCTGATATACCTTTTAACCCTAAAGTTATCCGCATCTGTCCCTTCATCTTCCTTGAGCGTACCGCGCTGCACTTTGTTCTTATGCGCGGTGTTCCATGTACGTAGAATGACTTCGCCGCAGCGGCCCATGGCCTGCGAGTCAGAGGACATCATGGATATAGCGCCGAGGTCGTGCAGGACGTCTTCAGCGGCGATGGTTTCGGCGCGGATGCGGGATTCGGCGAAGGCGACGTCTTCGGGGATGTTGCGGGAGAGGTGGTGGCATACCATTAGCATGTCGAGGTGCTCGTCGAGCGTGTTGCGTGTGTAGGGGCGAGTGGGGTTCGTAGACGAAGGCAGCACGTTGTCGAGTTCGACGACGCTGATGATGTCGGGGGCGTGGCCGCCGCCCGCGCCTTCAGTGTGGTACGTGTGGATGGTTCGCCCTTTGATGGCGGCGATGGTGGACTCGACGAAGCCGGATTCGTTGAGCGTGTCGGTGTGGATGAGTGTTTGTATGTCGTATTCGTCGCAGACGGTCAGGCAGGCGTCGATGGCGGCGGGGGTGCTGCCCCAGTCTTCGTGGAGTTTGAGGCCGCAGACTCCCGCTTCGGCTTGTTGTTGCAAGGGGCGCAGTTCGGCGTCGTTGCCTTTTCCTGTTATGCCGTAGTTTACGGGGAGTGTGTCGATGGCTTGGAGCATTTGTCGGATGTGTGTCTTGCCTGGTGTGCAGGTTGTCGCGTTTGTGCCGGTGCTGGGTCCTGTGCCGCCTCCGAGCATGGTCGTGATGCCTGATGCTATAGCTTCGTGTGCTTGTTGGGGACAAATGAAGTGGATGTGGGAGTCGAAACCACCTGCCGTTACAATCTTGTGCTCAGCAGAGATGACATCGGTACATGAACCGACTATCAAGTTGGGGTCCACGCCGTCCATGACATCCGGGTTGCCTGCCTTGCCGATGCCAACGATCATACCATCTTTGATTCCAATGTCCGCTTTGTAGATGCCAGACCAGTCGATAATCAAAGCGTTCGTAATGACGGTATCGAGCGAGTCTTTGTCTGATACACCTCCAGCTTGTCCCATGCCTTCTCTGAGTGTCTTGCCTCCTCCGAAAGCGCACTCGTCGCCGTATATGGTCATGTCTTTCTCGACCTTGATCCAGAGGTCTGTGGCGCCTAATCTGACCAGGTCACCGGTCGTCGGACCGAACATACTGATGTAGGACAGTCGCTCCATGGTGCAGATATCGATGTGCGCAGCGTCGCCATGCGGTTCAGGCTCGTGAAGAAAGCCACCAGACTTCAATTTCTCCACGATGCCATTGGCAACCGACATGTCCTCGATGAAGCCTGAAGCGATCTGATTTCCGCCCTTTATGATCTTATTACCACCAATTTGTACCAGGGTGACTGTCTTGGTATCGCCAGGCTCGAAGCGCACCGATGTGCCAGCAGGGATATCGAGGCGGTATCCGTGAGCTCGTACGCGGTCGAATTGGAGTTGCGGGTTCGTCTCGATAAAGTGGTAATGCGATCCGACCTATATCTTGTGAGTCGCATATCTCGTAGTCGCATGATGTTTTCATACCTGTATTGGCCGATCTCCCATACTCTTCACCTTGAGCTTGATCCTCTTGCGCCCCTCGTTCAGCTTGATCATACCAGCCTCTCCCTTGACTGCCACAATCGCGCCTGGCTGCTTCGTGCTCTCGTAAACACTCGAATCGGGTAGCGGAAACATGTCGTTCGACGGAATCGGCAGAAAAGAGCCATACAGCGCCTTCTCAAGGTCGCCATCGTCGGTGGACACTGGGTTATGGACGGTAACGAGGTATGTGCCGGTTGGGAAGGTGCCTTCAACCATCAGCTCGCCGAGCGAGGCGACAACAGAGGGTTGTACATGGCGACGACCGAGCATCGTCGTGCCAATGGACATGAGGTCGGCGACCGAGTGGTTTCCATCGCGGATAAGCTGTGTGCATTCAGCATGCGACCGAAGATGCGCGCGAAGTCGGAGGTCGTACTTCCTGGAGGTTGTTCGCGATCAAAGCCTGGGGGTATTAGCAGCGTCCACGCGATATCATGTGAGACTTACGGTAGCTTCAGCATGATTCAGCTTCACTCCTCTTGCCAGTCGACGTTGCGCAAGGAGTCCGAGCTGCGATATGACGAGCTTGTCAAGCTGTGACGCGATGGTCAGCAGGGGCCGCACGCGTATATGGCACCATGTCACACACCTCCTTTGGACACAACTGCATATTGTAGAATCAGAAGCAGCCAAGATCTGGAGCGATACAACGCGTCTCCAGATTGTATTTGAATCCCCACCATCCTCCAGTCCGACTCTACCGACTCTACCGCTACAGGCCTCACCTCTTTGGGCCATGCTGCGGGGTTCGCTTGCGATAAAGACGCGCGCTGATAAGGAGCTTACGTCCGCGGCAACGCGCTTTCACCTTCATCCCGCGATATCCATGGACGCGATTCTAGGCACATGTACTTTCGCGAGACCATTCAGGTGTCGCGAACCTGCGCGTGCCTGTCTTGGTTCGAGCTAACCTCAGCATGACGTAGGGGTTATTGGTTTCAACACCAGCACCACTGAGACATGCAGATCCACGCCTCATTCGGCCTATGCCACCAACCTTCTTACCTATCTTGCTCCTATCCTACCTGACGCGTCTCAGGCCTTCGTCCCTTCTCCTTTTTCAACACTCCTGCATCGTGTCGCAGCCATGATAAGCCCAGATCCAGACTCACCAGAAATACCGCCGTAGCCGGTAGCGTCGATGACAACGCGGGCACGCACCACATCTTGATACTCTGTGACCGTCAACCCGCGCGTCTAGCGAACGCCATCTTCGACATATCTCTACGTTACGATGCACTCCTTGATGCGACATCTGAAGGGAGAGAACGATGAGCCCGAACCCGAACAGCAGACATCTGACCCGCCTGTCAAGAGAAGTCGAGTAACAGTCAAACCTCCACCCAAAGATCCGAATATACCAAGGAAGCGACTCCAAATCAACAAGAAATGCCTCTATGAGCGCCGGTTACCTGGGAACGCGTACATCTCCGCCCATGTTAATCGACTTCAACACGGCTACTACAGGTCGAACGCACTTCACGAACCCGACATTAACAACCTCTTCTTCGTGTCGGTACACTTTGTCTTCCATCCCCATGACCCAGAGTCGCACCGTTTCAAAAGCGCCGAAATTGAAGTCACCGTTCATGGCGACGACGGTGACCCCAACACGCCCCGGAAGCCAGGCGCGTCGCATCCACGGATCCTGAAGCATGCACCAGAGCTGATGTTCGGATCTGTGTCGCCAGAGAACCTGCAGTGGAACTTCAGCTTATCGAGCTCCTTAGGCGTATCGCAGGCGCCCGTATCTGCTTCGCTGAACCCGAAAGCAGCTATGAAGAGCAGCTACAAAGTCTTCCACATGATGAGCATCCAAGGATCGGTGCGATCGAAGCGAAGCCCACACGGATCAGAGTACGATGTCGAAGACGCCAAGGCCGTCTGGACACTCACGGAGAACATGCTCCAAAAATCAGGCTTGCCACGAGAATTCGACTTCGTCCTACTTGTGCAGAAGCCGGAAGATTGCGAGAATATATACATGTCAGTCGACCTGAACGCGGATGTCGGAGCCTGGTACGGCACATATCCCCAGTGGTACACGAATCTCTCCAAGTATATGCCGAATCAAGATTGCATGCTCAGCTTCGAACATGACATTGGGCAGAGGTTCCTTCCAAGCCGGCCAGGACATGGTTTCAACTTCGCCAAACTCATGCATACGTTGGATGAATATGTCATGATGCCAGGAACTGTGTATCCAACACGCGTAAGTTTGCTTACTGAACGGTCTCACGGTCCAAGCTAACCTTTACAGGGTACGCGACAAGGCGAGATCAACAACCCGAATCTGATAGGATATGAAGCAGCCGATGATGGGAAAGCCATCAAAGCTGCTTCGGCGTCGCCCCAACCTAAGAAGCCTGCCACGCCTCCAAGCAAGAGCAAGTCGCCCCAGGGAGATTCAGATCGACAGCATCGCCATAGTTCGGTGCCAGAGAACGTGAACATCCGTGTTGTGCTGGAGCATCAGTATCCGCAAGGGGTTGACCCGCGACGCTTCTCGTACTCTCCTCTCAGCAACTTGGAGCCTGTGCGGTACCCGTCAATACGGCGGAGAAAGTCAAGGACGGGATTGAAGGAATACGGTGCGAAGCAAGCCTTGCATGAGCTTGCCCAAGATATATCAGAAGATAAAGGCGATAGATCGCGTGGCGGAGATAGACTCAGTGGAGCTACAGTAATGTGATCGGGGGCGTCTAACAGCGTAGAGTAGTTCATTCCTACCACACATGCATGCAAAGTACTCGTGTGAGAGCCTAACCAGGCCAAAATCTGCAGCGCTCCAATATAATTCAGGCAGACGACCGCCTTATCATTACTCGTGTGAGAACATGCAGTTCCCAAGACTCGGCTACTCGAGATCGCCACCATTAGCGCAATTTGTGACAGGTTCGTGAAATGACAGCACACCACCATCACTCAATCATGCACACCCCTTTCGCACCGGGCAAGACTCTGCACCTCTTCCACGCAATGTCATCTCCACCTCTCTCCACCAGCTGAGGTAAGACTCATCTCTCCCACCGCGCAATGCCGGTCGTGAAGCTCGCAGGCAAACGCACCACGGCGCCTGATTGGATCTTTCCATCTTCCGCCCAACTTCCGATACGTCGCCCGCTAGGCTCTGAAACGAGATGACGGGTATTAGCCCGCTTCTCTCGGGGCAGATCAAGTGGTGTACGATGCCCTCTCGCCATCGCGGCGCCATGTCCTGTGTTTCGTCGCTGCAGGTGTCTGCGAGGTTTAACTGGCCAGCGCCTCAACACGCTAGACAAGGGGCTGCCATGCCGGCAACCACCCACGAAGCTGCATCGCTCTTTCTACGTACGCAACGGTCCTGGTAGGTGTAATGAGGTAGGGCAGCAGAAAGGATGCGTGGGAATTGTGTGGTCTGCTGAGCGTGACGAATGCGATGCCCGGTGCCCCTCGGAGCTAAGGCTGGGGCTGAAGTTGGGCTGGCTTCTAGGGATGTTCTTTCCGTTCTGTTTATTTTTTGGCGGACGTCCCGTCATCGTTCCTTCCTACTGTGTGTAGGCACTCGGTGAGAGAACATCGTGCCTTCTTCGAGAGCTATCGTCTAGCGCTCTTTCCTCTTCTTCTCAACGGGATAGATTCTCGTGCCGCTCGTCTTTTCTGTATCGACTTCTAATCTTAATATCTCACCGTCTTTCGCTCCTGGTTCTTTGTCCCGCATCTTCGGTATCTCTGACGTTGCTTCGCACCGCCTTTACTACGGATATCAGCACGAAACGACGTGTGCGTTCACGAACACTCGGTTGTGACTGCACTCAGCCATTCCTCCGAAGGAAACCGCTCTTTCGGACATCAGCCCACTCCGGCACGGTTACAACGTCTGTATACGGCGACTTTGAGGTTTTCCGTACACTCTGGGATCGCTACAAGTATAGCTCGCCGACTGGAACGAAAGCAACCGGACCGTATCCATACCCTCGAAGCCCATGGCGTGGGTCCCGCAATGCATTCGTTAAACTTCACCTCAAGTCCGATCCGAAGCGAAACAACGAACCAAGAGCCTGGAAAGCTACCCTACACATGAAACCAATGACGGAGTTGTAGTCAGGAATCAGATTGCAAACTCTCATTCACCATCGAAGAGAACGACAAACGGTTCTGCCGGGCAAGTCGAAGATGGCGGCATTTTACCCCCACTCGCAGTCACCGCGACTTTCTGAGCCGGCTTCACTGCGGATGCAAGCTGGCAATCCTATGACGCCCGTCCACTCCCCACACCACTCAGTTACCTCGTCTGCCTCCTCCCGGACTCCCGTCCACGTCCTCACCATCCACGAGTATCGCAAACAGCAACATACGCCTACGCTATCGCGAACAGGTACACCGTCAGGCAAGACTCTTCGGAGGAAACCTGCGGCACTTGCCTTGAACGATATCGAACGCGCACCATCGGTATCGCATTCGACGCGGTCAGACTCTGGTCCACCATTGCGCCCTCTTCACTTTTCGCAGTCGGCATACCAACTCAACTCGATTGCCCCGCCGCCTCAGCAACCGACACTGCTCGAACTATCGCTTCGGTCGCAGTCAGCTGAGCCTCGCGTGCAGACGGGCAGTATATCCAGCATATCCACTGGAAACTCGTCTAGCAAGGTACGTCAGTTCAAGTCAAGAAAAAGGTTGCCGAAACCGCCTGCCACTACAGGTCCTGTATTTGCTCTTCCGCTTGCAAACGTGAAATCTACGCAAGACCGCCAATCACCGCGTCCTGCTGTGTTGAGCTTCTCCACCGATCTTTCACACTCCAGCGGCGCGCAGACCACGCCCACACTCTCGACCTTCTCGCTATCCCGCTTCCCGCAGCCGCCCCACCGGATCGACCCGTCGCTCTCACCACCCCACGATGAAAGAGAGCCGACGCGAATAGACGCACCTTGCTTCGCGACAACCGCGCCTGCGACGCCGCCCGCGACGCCCGCAATTATCCATTATCGCGGTGCTTCCTTTGACTTGGTTAACCCGCACGATTCGCTACTGCTTCACGACATTGTTACGCCCTCGCGCGACTTCGATTCTAGTGAATATCTTCTTCTACGTTCATCTGACGACGCATTTTCAGAGGTATGTATTACAACTCAATTCCGTTCTCAGCACAGCTGATCGCAACAGATGGCGCCCAAACGAGCCGTTTACGGCGATTTTCGCGCAGCGCATGCAGGTATCCTGAGACGTCCTGAAGATGAGCCAGAGCAATCGCATATGGAGCTTCCGCTTGAGCCGTCACCTGCTGCCCTCAGTCCCAACTCCTCGTCTTATACATCGCCCCCGTACAGCCCCGAGTCAGTCATTGCGCCCTCCCCGCTGAACATCAAGTCGCCTGCTCGCGAGTCGCGTTTCTCTCTCAAAGGATTGACTCGCACTTTGACGAAGAAGCTCTCCAAGACTCCGTCGGCGTTACAGGGCGAGGAGTTGCAGGAGATGCGTAGCGAAAACGTGAGCAAAGCATCAATCAGCATGGAAGGAGAATTCCCGCGCCCTCTACACCAGACCTATATCACAACCCCCGAAACATCATACTTCCCGGTCGGACCAATGTCGCCAGCTACGCCCAGCAGCCCCCTGTCACCTGAAGGCTTCCATGCCTTTACGCCGGCGTTCCCACAAGCGTTTTCGCCCGGACAGAATGAAGCAGAGACATCACGAGGTCATCATACAGGACACTATCAGACGGACTCACTAGCATCCATGCTGCCGGATGAGCACTCGACGGAGATCGGACGATTAGATGAGTCTCATCTACCTTACTCTACTGAAGGCGGGTTTTCAAAGCCCTACTACGACGATCTTGATTCTATCTACCCCAGTTCGTCTATCTACACCGCAGATGGTCATCGGAAGTCCATATATCAGCAGGGACTCCAGAGCAACCGGAACAGCAGTGGCAACCCGTTCGCTCGGCTTAGTGGGATAAACGCAAGCGACTTTGCCAACGATTACAATCCTAACAGCTCGTACGATTATGGCGATTTTAATCGGATGAGTCGGCAAATGTCACGTCCATTCGCCCAGGACATGTACCACCCTTCGGTCGAAGAACGTGATCCCAAGACAGACACCATCAGCAAACTCATCGATGAATATAGCCCGCATGATACTGCAAATGCGCCCGTAGCCACTCACTATGAAGGCAAAGGAAAGGGGGTTCAACAAACTGGTGTAGGTTCAAGGCGGCCTCCGATTACCCAGCACCCAGGTTCACCCCCTCGTGAAGCGGCTCCTCTCGCACCAGCCTTTGAGTACGATGAAGCACCTTTCCTTCCTCCACGTCTACCAATGTCTGGTATGTTCTCTGATGAATCACGCTACTCATACGGAGATACTCGAAATCTGCTCCGCATCTCGGAGTCAGATGTGTCGTTTCAGCCTGCTATGAAAGGCACTCTGGAGCCATCTTCATCGTACTCTCAACCAGAAGCCAGGACTCTCGAGCCTTCGTCTTCTTACTCTCAAGGGGACAACCCGCAGAGTCCGCATACGCCTAGAGAGGCTCTCGAACAGGCCGAACAAATCTTCCAAGACACGGCCAATAAGCATCAGGATGACCGTAAGATCCCCGCGATGTGGACTAGACGCAACTCGGCCAGCCTAATGCTAAGTAAATCAGCCACAAACAGGTCATCTGGTGTTCCCGAGGAGTTCGACACACCTCTTGGTGGCGGCGACGCAGCTATTACCGGAGATAAAGCGGATTGGGAGACGGTTGGCGGCAACAGTCGCGATTCGAAAGGCCACGAGTCTCTTCTTAGCAGTATTGCAGACTATAGCAGCAGTGAGGGCACCCGGAACAGTCTTGGCCTAAACTCAGATGGCTCCCTTCCTTCCTGGGCGAAGCTAGCTCAATCGCCGGCTCGTTCGACATACTACAACCACCCTAGTCCATCACGCACTCAACACCCTCAACTGTTCGGCTCATCGCCACCACAGTTGAGAGCTCAAGCAAGTGTCCGTACCGCACCCGATACTTCATCTCCTCCCTTGGCCACTAGCCCTCCAGCATCCCGGACAGCACCATTGTTCCAGTTCGCTACTCAACCTGAGGACGTTCGGGGGCGCGGTGCCGTCGATCAGCCATATGCTTACGCTCCCTGGGCGGACCCATACGCCTTCAGTGACAAAGAGACGCAAGAACTGCTAGCTTCTGGCCCTAATGATAACATCATTATCGATGAGCAGCGCGCTTCGTCTGTGGGTCAGTCACAAGGACATTACCGGTATAGAAGCGATGATAGTACTCTACCGACTTCAAGTACCGCTGATGAGAGCGTTTTCGACAACAGTCCTATTGGTCTCGAGCGCCAGAACACCTTTGAGAAGCTCTCCTATGTTGGACCTAAGGGCAACCTCACTGGTACTCCTCGCGGTACTGGCATGCATGAGACAGGTAGCAGTGTCGCAGATACGAGCAGTCCTGGTGTGAAGCTCAGCTCGAGCGTTGGCCGCCAGAGCGTTCGCTCAGACTACACCGGGTTCTACGCTTCGCCCTTCCCAGCTACAGGCAGCGTAACTCGCATCAGCCAGTCCCGACCAGTCTACAAGCCGAGTCCCGAGCATCGAACACCATCAGAAGCTAGTCTATTCTCACAGACGCCAGAACTGGAAACTGTTCAAGAGACCTCTCCAAACCCTGGTGCTCGCAAGCACCTCCGTAACTCTACCACGTTCCTGCGTCAACAACGCCGCACAAGCCGCTCTGCCGTACCCGGTCAGACGAAACTGCGGCAGATGTTCCTTGCGCCTGAAGCTGCTCGATCGACCATCTCGACTCAAGACACGCACATCACGCGCTTCGTGGCCCACAGTGATCGTCCATCTACCAGCGACACTACCACGCCTCTCCGCCCCACACACCCTAGCCTAGACATCTACCCTGCGCCAGTCCGGACCAACATTGCCCACCAGCACTCGCCTCACCTTCTCTGCGTGGAGCGGGAGCCCAACCCAGAAGACGAGGCACGCCGCCGCAAGCTATCATGGTGCATCCTCATGGCCTTCTGTCTCCTGCCGCCTTGCATCATCCTCTTCCGTTTCATAGGAGACAAGGTCATCGCCGAGCTTACCAAAGGCCATCTTGGTCACGTCACGCCACAGTCTAAGCGAACGGCGCTCATTGCTGGTATCGTCGTTAATGTTGGCCTTGTCACTGCAATCTTGGTTCCGGTCTTGGTCGCGCAGGCTCTGAAAGCTGCTTGATGGGGAGTGTTGATGGGGTTGAAGAAGAACAGGTACGCAGTGCTATTGTGATCCTCTTATGTGAACTAACCTTGATGAACAGCAGTGCTGGCATTCTCGAACATGCTCAAAAGTGCTATCAACGATATCTCGAACCGCAGACCTTGCAACGCGGTACGACATACGAAAAGTTTGCGAGCGATCTTTCATCGCAAGTTCCAAGGAACACATTGGCCAGCAACGTCTTGATTGCGGCGTCCATTCTCTTCTGAGTGTGAGTTTTTTTCCTTTGTTCTGTACTATCTTGCGTTGCTTTGGCGTTGCTTTTGCATGATCTGGGAGTTCTTCAACTTTGAAGATGGCCGTTTGGCTCTTCTGGGCTCCTCATCGAGGGAAGGTTCTTTATCTGGGATGCATGATTGGCGATGGGCGAATATCCGGGCATGGTGCATGTGGATTAGGATCGCCATCTGGGGAATTGGTCATTATGGGGTCTACTGGTATCTCTTTTTCGTTTGTCGCGGCTGGCTTCGTAATGAGGTTGGCTGCTGGACGGTGGGAGGTTTGGACATGGGATGGTGGTTTTTCAGTTTGATGGATGATGGATGGATGGCGGACATGTTTGGTTCAGGTTCAAGAAGAAATATGAATCATTTCATTCAATACCGGACAATTTGCTGTTGGTGTGCTGCTCTCCGTGTTCTAACGCATATGAGACTGCCCGGCCGATCGCCGTGATCATGCATCTTTACCATTCTGCTGCGGAGGGAATGTCTTCCGTCTTGCCAATGGAACAAGCCCTATATCTGCTTCAGTATCTACTCTGCCTGGCGGTCCAAAGTCCGTCTGGTGTTCTCTGCCAGTGGACCATTGCTCAATAACACTCAATGGTCGCGACGGCGATGGCGAGGTGGTCTGTACACTAGTGTTGTCCGATGATGCCGAGGTAGCCATGCTCTGGTCACTTCGGTGGGACTCGGGTCGCACTTGAGTAAGCATGCTGAGCTGAGACTCTGGCCGAGCTCGATTACGGCTTATCTTTACTTCATCGCGGATAAAGGAGATTTGATCCATGATGCTTTTGCCCATCAGCAATAACCGAAAAGCGAGATAAAAGAAGAGGAATGACGAAGGCCACCCGCTACCCCAACTAAAGTTCCACATGATCCCAATGTATGCTAAGAAGCATGTCTCGCAGAAGCAGTAGAACAAAGTGTAACGACCCATTTTCCTTGCCGTATAGATGTTGTCGTTATTTTGGGCGGAGAGTCGAACTCGAATAAACTTAAAGTCAATACGGGACTTCCATGATCCAAGGCGCACTATGGCAGTCCAGATCCGATGGATGAGATCTTTCGGCTCAGGTATAGAGGTGCGAGATGGACCTTGGGCGTTTTCGTCTTGGTCAATACCTTCGGCCGTGTTGTTTCTTTTAGTCGGAATCTTGGCTATCACAGTCGTTTGGGAAGACGAGCAGGCTTCGCAGATAATAGCCTGGTCATCCGGAAGTTTCTGCTCTAAAGGCACAAACTCGCATTAGCGTATATCCTGCATCGTTCATATCAAATAGACTTACCATCGATGACTTCAACAGCAGCTAGAAGCGTTAGCGCCAGCAGTACTATGGCTACGACCTGCCCGAAACCCAGGATGTGAAGGCTATTCGCTGGCTTTAATCCCCCATACCATACAGCGAGCACAACACTGCCAGTACCATATGTCATGCCCAGTACAATCTCTGGAAGGTTCGATAAGTATGACTCGTAATACCTGTCGAAGAAGAACCATATTGACATCTTTGTTTGTTCTGCAGTTGCAACCGGTGGATCGAGCTTGGCGTAATATTTGACATTGCCATTGTTGACAGTGGCACTCGCGTCTTCTTTCGAGAGACCTTTGAGACGGAGACATTCCGAGTAAAAGGAAAGAACCCACACACCTAGCGCGCTTCTTTTCGGTTCGAAATACAAGTTTGCGATAGCTAGTGTATGTTTGATAAGGACAAGTCCGAGGACGGCAGTTGAATCGACCAAATCGAATTGGATCGACTTGCCGAATTGCGACGCTTCGAAGAGACATTGGAGCACGTTTCCAACGTTTAAGGTAGTCTTGTGATTAACTTCGTCAAACTTACTTGATACTGTATTGATGATGAAGGAGAAGGCGAACATCACCAGAAAGCCAATGGTAAATACGACTCGGCAGTCTCGAACGAGCTTGCGTTTGAACAGATGACTCTGCAGCACTCCTAGAGAGAGCGCATGGGTGAAGGTCGCAAAATACGCTAAGAAAGTAACGATTTTGAACTCGTAGAAGGTGATGCGGCACCGACTAGCGAGTCCCGCGATTAGGATCGCAACACCGGTAATAAGTTGTTGGTCGCTTAAGACTGTGGCAAATCCAACGATGATCTGAGTCCTCTCTTTCTGCTTTGGCGTAGGCTTGAAATGAAGATCGGCCTCGACGAAGGGGCGACCCAGCTTTTTGAGTGCCTGCAGTGCGTAGTGATCGGTGCGAGACAGTATGTCGAGGGGCAGGCACTCATTGTAGTAGCCCCAGACAATGACGGTAGAGAGCATATAAGCGCAGAAAAGAAAAGATATCAACACCTTCAGATGATATCAGCGTGCAGCTCCAGAGGCCATCGATGGTTAACTTACTCCTATGCCCGCGATGTCGGGGTCTACCTCGATTTCGGTGTCACAACCATCAATTGGTTCTTTGGCGTAACACTTGTTGCAGTTGAGAGAGCTTCCGCAGCTGCCCATGGTCGTTTGCTTGCGTGGTGGTGATGTGTTAGGCTGGGGCCAAGGGAGCAATCGTAGCAAGAACCGGAACAAGTAGCCTTTGAATAGCAGCGGACATGCAAGAAGGCTGATGTCAGCCGCCAAGGTCCTGCCTGCATGCGATCCCGATGCGCCAGAGAAAGTGGGAGAAAAACCGGGAATGGCGCAAGGCTGGGCTATTGGTGGCGCATAGAAAGAACGTCTGCGCATTCGGCTCGGTCCAGTGGCTAGCCTCTGACAGTCGAATCTAAGAGCCATATCAGAGTGAGGTGTAACGATAACGGAAGACATTGGGCCTGTGAACATTTCCCCAGGTAATTGTGGTTTGTTTGATGACTAGTTGGTGGGTTGATGGCTCAGCCTTGTGTGTGTATTTAGTGGCTGTGCATGAGCTGAGAAGTTGGGTACACGTGCCTGCAGAGGCGTGGAAGCTCGCTTCGTGATTGGTATAAGAGATAAGCCCTGCAGGCTGGGCGAAGACGTACTGGAGGGTGGTGGTTGTGGCACTGCAGGCTGCTACGTTCAGCGGGAGATCCGAAATCATAAACCTGTCGCTGTGGATCGAAACGTATGCGCCGAACATGCGTGCGATGAAGATCAGCCGGATTCCTCGACCGACCGGCATCAAGAGCTCCCGTCTTGCCTGTTGAACAGTGCGTTCAAACCAAGGCTAGCTTCAGTGTCCTGCCTGCGAGGTCGCTCGAACGTCGGGCTCGTTTCTACCGCAGTGGTGTGTGCATTATCGCGCTGGTTGTCGGACATGTCCAGGGAAGGTAGTCGTGGTGGATTGTGCGATGTGTTATCTCCAGACGTGCTACGCGCCATCGGAGACGCCTGCAAAGAAGTTCTCTTAGTCTTGCGTGATTTGATCTCTTTCCATACGAATCGAGCCTGGTAAATTTGACGTCTCAAAACGATGGCCAGTTTTGAATACGCCCATATTGGAACGATGGCCAGCAGCATGTACAGCTGTACACCACCCACACTTCCCACGACAATCATCACTACTGTAGATAGTGCACATAGGATCAAGGATCGGATGGCGACTTTTCTTTCCCCGTTAGAGGGTGGCGGATTTGCAACGTGACCAGACGCGCTCACGCCATCACCTCGAACGCCAACGGATGGCTCGACCAACGGCTCGGACGTAGTAAGGGTCGGAGATGGAGCATTTGAGATATCGATGTGATACAAAAATCCCTGCGTTGATAAGGACAGGGAACCGTCTAGCACGGTTTGCTCTTCGTTGAATCAGTAAAGTCATAGTGAGAGTAGAGAGGAGGCTTACCATTTACGATTTCAATTAGAGCAAGCAGTGGAAGAACCAGCAGGCCGATCGCAACGACTTGGCCAAATCCAAGCATCCCGGCATCGCTCGATGGATAGACGTCGGCTACTAATACCGCAGAAATCGTATTGGCCGTCCCGAAAACGAATTGAAAAGCCCACACGGGAATCTCAGAGAGATACGCTTCATGATATTGCTCAAGAAAATACCAAACAGATATCTTGACCGTGTCATTCGATGGTTCGATCCTAGTATCATAGTCAAGACGGGCATCTGCGATGATGGTTGCCGACTCCGTTGCGGAGAGGAGTTGCGACCGACTCCAGAGGTATATGCATATGCGATCCATCAGAGGAGCAGTGACATGACGTTGGCGAACGGCTTCCGGAGCAGCCAGTCGAGCTATGGCTGAGATATGTTTTCCCCATAAGATTATCAGTATAGGGAGGGTCGTGAGTGCAAACTGGGCATCAGCCAAAAGCGCGGGTTTCGCCATCCACTGCTCCAACGCACATTGGATTAGTTTGATGTTGCTCCAATACCCACCGTACCAGACATTGTCCAAGAGAAACGCGAACGTGAATAAACTCAGGAACACAAGCGTGAGAATTACGCGACAGTACCTAACCCATCTATGCTGGGCTAGGTGATTTCGCAATACATCGAGTGATAGGCTGTGCGTCGTAGCTGAAAAGTAAGCCAGCGATGTAACTATATGCCATTCATTCTGAGACATAACACATCGGCCTAAAAGCGCAGCAATTAGTATTGAGATCCCCGTTATGAGCTGCTGATCGCTAAGCATCTTGATGAATTTGGCTAGAACATGGCTGCGACTTCGTTGTTTTGGCGTCTGTATGAATACGAGTATCTTGTTACTTTTGTCGTGCCTTTTTCGCCTGAACAGGCCCTCCAGTATTGCGATTGCATGCTTGTCGGTCGACTGTAGCAGACCCGAAGGCAAGGTCGAGGTTAGGTACCCCCGGATCACTACCACGAAAACAGCCAAGGCGCTGAAGTAGAATGATACGAGGATCTAGTCTTGCGTCAGAATAATGAACGAACTCAGAGTTTACTGCTTACCCCAATACCAGCGATGTCTGGGTTGACTTTCGGTTGTGTTGGGCATCCGTCTTCATCCCAGTCTCCATACCATCCCCAGTTTTCAGGGCACGCAGTACAGTCGACGGAACTACCGCAGTTGCCCATGCTGGCAAGACTGAATCTAATTGCTGGAGGCAGTGCCGTACCACTATGTAGGATTTATAGCGATGCTGAAACTGTTGACGAATGTCTGATGGTGATGACCGACAGGCTGAGAGATAGTAAGCACGTAGAAACGAGAGATCCCGGAAGCCGCTGTGGCATAGAATAACCCCAGTATAAATGCAAATAGATGTAGAGTCGGACTTATAGCGTGGTGTCCTCCCTCGTCGTGTCGGATGAAGCTGCGTTGCAAACAACAAGTTCTCGCCACCTCAGCTTTTCAGCTGCCTGTTCAAGTAGGCGCGACATAAACGCCGCCCAGACCGCCACAAAGCTTTGATTGGGTGAATTTAGGCCCCCAAATCTGCCCAGGTATGACTGCATTGAAGAGAAGGTGGGAGAGGCTCGAAGGGACACGGCAGTTGCAGACCCGTTTACTTTCCGGCTCGCGATCCGAACAACACCACAGCTATACAATTGATCGCTGTAGCTAAGGTAGCCACAAAAGACTTGCGCAGTTCTTTACGAAGCGTTAGTATCATTTCTCTGTGGCGAAAAAGTTTGGCAGGCCATCGTCAGATAGGGAGGTGCTGCGCTACGTGTCCATCGTAGGCCTGACGAGTCCACCGTGCAGCAAGACAGAAACGGGCTGCGAGCGTCTGATGATCTATCGAGAAGGTCATCAACGCGCACTGGAACGTGCGACGCACCCCGGAATGTGTATACCTGTTCGATATTGTGGTGGTAAGAAAGTTGGAGTTCAGAGCGAGGAAGCTGCTAGTAAGCCTAGCAGCTACTTCCTCTGTGCTGAGTCATGCTCCAAGCCGACCCTCCAACTGCGCTAGTGTTGCGCGAGTCATTCACATCGATGCCGCCACAAAAGCCTTGAGACTCGTCCACATGGTTGTCATCAGTCTTACTGCATCACTGTTACAATTAGATAGGGCCTACATCTGCTTTGACTCATAAGACATGTTGCTACATTGGAACAGCAAATCGATGAAATCGGGAGATTACAAAACATCACTCTTACAGTTGATTAAGCATCATTGTTATTCATTCGTCTTTCATTCATATAACCGGTCATAACCAGCCTTATTGGGGGTATATACAACTCTCTACTCCTTGCTCAAATCCGCAATCTGCAACACCGCCTTACCAAAGTTCTTTCCCTCCAGCATACCAATAAAGCCGTCAACCGCATTATCAATACCCTCCGTAACACTAATCTTCGCCTTGAAAGTGCCCTCAGACAACCACTTCTGCAGCTTCTCCTGGTGCTCCTTCGCATGCTTAGGACCCATGTTCTCGTCACCAACGATGAAACCACGGATGGTAAGGCGCTTGGCAACAACGTTCATGAGGTTGCGAATGGGGTACTGCTCGCCGGGCTTAGCGTTGTACTGGGAGATCATGCCGCAGGCGATGATGCGACCGAAGTTGTTCATGGCGTTGATGGCGGCTTCGAGTTGCTCACCGCCGACGTTTTCGTAGTAGATGTCGATGCCGTTGGGGGCGAGGCGGGCGAGGGCATCCGCGGGCTTCTCGGTCTTGTAGTTAAAGCCGGAGTCGAAGTTGAGCTCCTTGGTGATGAAATCGAGCTTCTTGTCGTCGCCGACGGAGCCGATGACGGTGAGGCCCTCGTGCTTGGCGAGTTGGCCGACGAGCTGGCCGACGGCGCCTGAGGCGGCGGAAATGAAGATTGTCTCGCCCTTCTTGGGTTGGCCGATCTCGTAGAAGGAGGACCAGGCGGTTAGGCCGGGCATGCCGAGGGGACCGAGGAAGTACTTGGGGTCGAGGTTGTAGGGGTTCTTGAGCTCGATGCAGTTGGCGACGGCGTCCTTGTCGAGGATGGAGTACTCCTCAATGGGGCTGATGCCCATGGTGATGAGGGTTTGGCCCTCCTTGAACTTGTCGCTGTTCGACTTGACGACCTTGAAGATGGAGCGGTTGGTGATGGGCTTGCCTAGCTCGAAGGGAGGGGAGTAGGACTTGACGTCGGGTGCACGCATGCGGCCACGCTGGTAGGGATCGAAGGAGGCGTAGAAGTTCTTGACGAGAAGAGCGCCCTCGGGGAGCTTCTGGTCGAGGTCGATGTCGCGGGCCTCAACAGCGAGGTCCTGGCCTGGCTTTGGCCATCCCTCTGGGACCTTCTTGAAGATGGCGCCCTTGTTCTGAACCATTATGGTGTCTTTGTGTTGTGTAGAGTTGGGTATTAGGAGAGAATGTGTAGGGTATCTTGTGTTGATAGTGTGAGGTGATTGAATAATTTGAAGCCGAAGAATGAGACACAGGCAGC